GAGGAACAATAGGGGGTCCCCAGTTGCAGGCAAATACACACTTGTGTGTGTGGGGGTGGGGGTGATCAAACGGACCATCTCGGACTAGTTTGGAATATATTCCCTTCTGGGATTTACCATGACCACCATTAAAAGGCATTAGCAGAAAGAATTGCATTGGAACGATAACCCTGAAAGTATTCGCTGATCTTTTCATCTGAGTGGAATGTAACAGGAATGGGCATTTCACTACTCCAATGGGCCCACCATCCTTTTGCGTCAAGAAATATTAAGATAATATTATATATTACTATCTATAAAAAGCTGTGTTATTCATTGACGAAATCAACACGTTCTTAACAAAAACGATGATAACCTGACACAAGGATGTTTTGTGAAGTCCGAGTCACATGACCCAGTGTAGACGCTGGATGTTGGGCAGATTTCAAGGTGGATGCCTTTATCTTTAACCATCTGAAAAAAAGATAGAAGTATATTCTCTCCTTGATATTTTTGAGCTCCTATATGTTTTCTGACCTTTTTCCTACTGGTATTTAGAAACGGCCACAATTCTAACGTACAGCGGTCATTCGCTTATGTAGACATCTAAGTAAAAGCAAGACAGAATATGTCACCGGGAAAGTGATTTTCCTGGTCATGGGCACAGAACGAGGAAACGCTCATACACTAACACTCATATAAATTCGCATAAAAGGCGACTTTTTTAATTACAACGATCATTTATGCTTCTTTTAAACATGTAAATAAATACTACATTAAGCAGCAAAACGCCTGTAGTATCTTAACTCTCTGTTCCGAGTCCAGCATTCAGCTCTATAAGTTCCAACAGGCCTTACCGAAGTAACTTGTCCAAAAACATTTATATCATGATTCGTTAACTGTTGGAAACTTTCACAATATGCAAATTCTCACAGTTCTCAAAGGAAAGGCATTTGGTATTCTGACACTTGCATGGTCTAGCCTTGTTAATCACATACGCAAACTTGTCACAGTGCCGATTTCGTACCCTTAACACCAGTCTAGTTTGTTCACTCATCTGTGTCAATAACATCACAAGCTGTATACCACTCCAAAGAGGGCACTCTGCCCTTTCTACAGATATATTTCTCTTTCCCATATATAAAGTAGTTTTGCTTTACAGTAATTGTTATCTCGGTATACATTTTATGTGGAAACCCTGTATATGACATTGACGATCTACCTGATAGATATCATCATCTTCCAGGACGTGGTAGCCATGTCCTATTCTCTCAGCTTTCAGTTCTTCTATGGCAATCTTCACATTGCCGGCTGGTCCACCTTCACCAGCATGTGCAGTGCGATGAATGCCACAACGTTCAGCCTCCTGCAGGAATAATAAAAGCAGTAGAAATATTTTTGCAACGCTGAACCCAAAAGCAACGAAACCTTACGAACAGATGCTCGCCAAACAACTCTCATCGTGCTGCCAAACAATTCTCATCTCGCTGCCAAACAACTCTCATCTCGCTGCCAAACAACTCATCTCGCTGCCAAACAACTCTCATCTCGCTGCCAAACAACTCTCATCGTGCTGCCAAACAATTCATCTCGCTGCCAAACAACTCTCATCGTGCTGCCAAACAATTCATCTCGCTGCCAAATAACTCTCATCTCGCTGCCAAAAAACTCTCATCGCACTGCCAAACAACTCCCATCGCGCAAACAACCCTCACTGCTAGTGGCGTAACTAAGGCTAAATGTCTGAGGGGTACTCACGAGAGGTGCACACATTTGTTCAAAGGGGAACCACAAGAAAATAAGTTGCAGCTGCATTCACAGATTTGGGGGGTGGTGGTGGCGCCCAGGGGAGGGGCATCTGCGGGGAGGGGTTAAGTTTCCCCCTTCCCCTGGTAATTACGCTGTTACTCACAGCGCTGCGTATGTTATCCACTTACCTGAAAAACTCTGACAACTTCACGGTGAAATTCCTCGCGTTCTATTTCGTTTGTACCACCGCAGCCGGCAACATCAATGCCAACAACAATTTCATGAAATTCCTGACATAGATGAAGACATTCTGAGGCCAAAGCTGAATATGAAAACGAAATAATACTATCAAACTATCAGCGTTATTTCACATCAAGAATAGACGAATAATAAAGGTTTATGTTTGATGGCAAACATGAAGAATCTCAACTCATCTCCAAAGCAATTCCAACCCCAATGAACCCCTTCATTATTAAATTTTGGCAAGATAAAACAGTGAACAAATGACTCCTCATGATGATCAGAAATGAAAAGAGTGGTCCATGTAAGTACATGCATGTACATGGGGATATCTTTCCCCTTGAAATCATGACAGTGTGTATCCTGTCTCGATAAAAGAAAGAAAAAGGAAATTTTTCAAAAGCTAAAAAATGAACTCTGAGATCACTCCCACCTTTTGGATTTTTTTCGAGTCACTAAATTAGTACTAGACTATTCGTTTTATAAATTTTTTTCTTACAGAATGATTAAAAGAAAACTTGCCAGGGGTCTCTCTGGCAGTGCATATGATAAGACGCGCTTTGACGTTGAAGTCTTTTTGTCCTTGTTCTATTCCCTCCACGATGCTACGCATCACGTCGTGAGTCGATAACGCTTTCTCTTTAACATGGCCACCCTCCTGATCCGAGTACACCAAAAGATGCGGGCTAAATCGAGCCTCAAAGTAGACGACACCTTCCTTGGCCTTGTCCTCGCAAATTTCGTAAGAAATTCGGCGAAGAGCTTCTTTATCACCGCTAGGAGGATGGAAACAAAAGATGTGTAGTTATTATTTCAAAGGTTCCTAGCGACGAATTGTCTGTTGTGCTCTATTCCGTTCTTCTTTGTCTGGAAAACTATGGCCGGTCTTCAGCAATTATGTTTAAGATCAACTGAGTATTGGAAGCCGATAGAGGCAAGGGTCGTTATCACATGCACGAGACTGCAACTATTGGTAACATAACGTTTACGCAATATTTTCGAAATTCTTCATAGGCATCAAAACTAATTATAGTAAAACTAGAGAAATGAAATACTGGAAGCCTGTGGATAGTTACCATAAATGTTAAACGCATGATCAACATGTGCCTCGCTAGGCTTTCGAACAGTTATGGGACAAGTTCAGTACCATTGCATACTGTAGTTTGAATGTTAAGCTCAAAACTAATATCAAGTCTGCAAGGCACGCTATTTCCGAGAGTTATAAACGTTACGTGAGTTTGTAAGTTTAACATTAAGAAATTCTGTTGATGGAAGAGGAAAAAAATGCATTCGGACGCCGATGCTGTAAAACATTCACATGGAAGCAGGGTGTCTGGGCAGCATGACGCGCGTTCGAGTTGCTGCTGTAGACTTAATATCAATCGAGCGTATGCCTTTACACTACTGTCTTTCTTACAATTTGCAGCATAATTATAAGACCAAGTATAAATATTTTTATATTTTCCATACGGATAACCTAAACAGAGTTAGGAAACATGTTGTTATATATCAACATGTATACGGTTAATGAATCTAAGATAAACGTGGCGCCAGCGGGTGGATAAGGGCATGAAGTCACTTTTTTTACCACAGGTAAGGTTTTGTAGGAAAGGACTCTTTTTAGGTTTGGAACAATCCAGGGGTTTTATTGTACATTTTCCATATATTTGCATGTTTACGTAAACATGAAAGGGTGCCAACTTGAAGGATAACAAAACATTTATGTTGAGTAGACTCGCGCCAGACTCAGGTCTTTAGGCGCAAGTCTGATTGAAATAAATAAATAACTAAAAAAATAATAAGATAAAATAATAACAAATTCCAAGTGTGTTTCAGAATGGAACAAAGACTGAGTCCAGAATCGAGTCCTACAACACTGATCACAGTTTTGCTGATATAAATTAAAATACTCATAGGCATGAAAATAAAAACCTTAAATACTGTTAAAAAAAGAAAAAATATCAATAATATAAAGTTATCTGAGACAGGAAGGTCTTTTTAAGGGGTGCATGAAAAAACACAATGCCTGCGTGGCCCTTTAATTGTGCTATAAGCTTGGGAATGCATTCTCTGCAACAGACAATACCAACCTACTACGGTCATATGAAGCAAAATCACTTACATCAAAGGAGGTAAGAAAATCTTGAACGTCTCCAAAACCTTCGGAAGGGTTCCCATGTCAAAGTTTTGTATAATACGTATCATCTCTTCAGCTGTTGAACCCGGCACGCTGATTCCACGCTTTCTTTTAAATGCAGAAAAGCACTGCCAAAGTTACCCCACTGTGATCAGAGCAGCTTTAAGAAAATTTAACTGATCAACAATCCTTTGAGTTTCTTTCTCACCATTTTTTGAATACATGGAAGTACATTCCGAAGTAAATACGTTCCATTTCAAAGGTGGAATTTTACTTTTGAATGCACCATGAAATGAAGAAAATCATCAGAGGAAATATGTAAAAACCCGTTCGTTATAATGTCACACATTTCTTGACAGTTGAAGCATTATACCCAGTAAGTACGTGTCAGCAAAACGTGCTCTCTGTATACCGTTCTTTATCTGATTCACTGAACAAGGTTTTCGTTGGAACAAACACATTCCTGAGACAAAGAAGGAACTGGGAATATAAGATAACTCACTTTGCCAAGTCCCACACAGTAGATGGTCTGACTGCGCCATCCAGATGAATGTGCAGCTCCACCTACAAATCCAAATATATATATAAATATAAGAAATGCTGGTTTATTCAACTCCTGGCTATACCTTAGTGAGAATATAGTCGTGTTAGCAGACATCAGCTCACCTTCACGAGAACACTGTAAAACATTATTCAGCTTGTACAGCTAAATTCTCATACCCTTGAAATTGTGGTAGTTTTCTATTTTCTTAAAACGTTTGAACTGGACTGGTGGAACTTTGACTTTCTTTATTCACCTTAGTTGGCACGCACAAACCTACATTTATTTCAGTTTCAAACGTTTAGCAGCAAAGAAGACATAGTTCAATTTTAATAATTGCTAATGCATCTCCATAGTCAATACATGTAATATGTTTCTCTAGCCTCAGAATACAGGCTATTGTTGACAATGCTGTTGTTTATCGGTCTCCTAAAAGCCTCCACAGTTTTTAAAGATGTTCTGAAACATTCTTATAGACTATAAATTTAGGGGAGCTGATGTAATTGTGGGTGGTTGATGGTCAGCGGGGGCGGATGCTTGCCGAAGGTGTGAAAGAAGTACACAGAAGCAGGTACAACCCGGGCACTTCAAAGGGCTCCGTGATGGTATCGCTTCCAAGTCAGACGAATAATAATAGAAGATACTAAACAAATGCCCGACAGTAGTTTCCTAGCGATACTCATGGTGTTTTGCTTGCAATTTACTACAACTTATCATTGTGACCAAGAAATAAAGAAATATTCCTATAAAACCCCATCACACTCTTTTTGTTCAGCTTTATAACTAAAACTATTTCAAATCTTCTGATGTTTGACGTATTGAAAAGCACTTTTCGCAACCGTTTTACTATCCATGCCTCTCTGGGCAAGTGTTTGGGTGTAAGTGCTGTCGCAGTGACATCATTAAGGAAAGGCGCTGCTCATTTTTTATAGGTTTTTCTGTTCAAATTTTGAACCCAAAATTTTTCATTGGAAACAATTCTGAGAAAGGGCTGTTTATTTGTATAAAAGGAAACCCAGGAGAGCAAACTCGTGTGTTCACATGTACTACACTGTACTATCGCACGCTATAGCTAGCTGGTAACCGTGTACCGTGTGTGCCTACTTGATCGTGTGTGGGGATGTTTATTCAATACTGCGTCACATGTGTAATCAAAGAGGCTTACGATTGGTCTTCCAAAATGAACAATTCATATTTTTCAGGAAGCACGATTTATGTGATTGGCTCTAGAACTGCATTGAATTATTCATGATGGCATAAGCGCATATCGCTGATCCCCCATTTTCGTCAATGTCAAGAAAAACATTAGGCCTAAACCCGGGACATACAGACGCGACAAGGCGGTTTTTCAACTCGATATAATGATACGGACAGCTGACGCACGTACGTACGTGGGGTTATGTACAATGCACATGTACACGCACAAGTGTCTGCGGAGGTTCGGTTTGTAAGTCGGTGTACTGGGCTCCATTATGGTCTACTGTTGTACCGTACGAGGGTGGCAGCTCGTTTGCCTCAGTTTGAGTGCGTACGGCCTGATCTCTGCCGGGGTTTAACGGCCAAGTAAACCGCCTTGGAAAAAGCTGTGTCGCTGCAGGCCCACTGTGAGTTGTCATAGAAGGCACATTGTGTCCTAAGGAACCTGTGTCTGCAGGCTCATCGCATCATTGCAGGCCCACTACGCCGCTGCAGGCCCACGGTGTCGATGCTGGCTCCTTCGTCGCTGCAAGCCCACTGTGTTACTGCAGGCCCACCGTGAGATGAAGGCGCACAGGTTCCGAAGGCACCCTGTGACTGCAGGCTCACAGTGGCACTGCAGGCCTACCGTGTCGCTGCAGGCCTACCGTGTCGCTGCAGGCCCACTGTGTCGCTGCAGGCCTACCGTGTCGCTGCAGGCCCACTGTGTCGCTGCAGGCCTACCGTGTCGCTGCAGGCCCACTGTGTCGCTGCAGGCCTACCGTGTCGCTGCAGGCCTATACCGTGTCGCTGCAGGCCCACTGTGAGCTGAGATGAAGGAAGGCCCCTGTGTCTGCAGGCCCACAGAGTACTGTACATGTACATGTGCTACATGTTTACACGAATTCTGAACGCAGTTCCGGGTTAAACGGTGAAACAGCCATCGGCAGAAATCGCTGTTATCCGTGAGGCACACTGAAAGGGTGAACTTATATAGTTCTTACAATGTTAAAATGAAGATACAAACCTTTGGACGTAGATGAGATTTCGCCCCAACTTGCATTGCCGTTTACTTTTCATGGGTACCCTGCACACCACACGATCCACACTGTCGCTTGTGGAAAGGATTCTTTCAATTGTTACAGTTGTCACGTGGTGAGTAAAATGTGCTCGTTTCATGTACAGAAATGCTAATTTTAAGAGGTCACCCTTGACATCGTATTGATTAAAGGGACAATATCGGCTTGGTTGTAACAAAATCAAAGTGTTTCGTTTTTACGCACACAGTTACCGTAATGCAATTCTTGTGGAGCTGACAATAGAAAACCTCATTCGGACTTTAACCCTCCGACACTGGCACACTGGGTTGATTAACTTGGGGATTTTGCGTCGTTCGGTTAAATTGTAAGTAGGCTAAACGTCATTAATCAACAGTATGATTTAAAATAAAATACTGTATTACTCATAAATGATATTGTCTTTAAATTCATTGTTTACTTGGACCCCACATACATTTCTGAAAAGTAGTCACATCATCTGGGGATATCTTTACGTGTGATCCAGCAATAATACCAGGGTCGAGTAGGCCTACAGCACTTACAAATGTGGGGAAAAGGGGCGCCAAACTGAAGGTGAACTCCAAAAACGAGCGGACATTTAATGATAATTTTCGTCTTCAGTATTATTAACTGACCAGTTGAGTACAAAAGAAAATAAATGGGAGAAATTGAGTCTGTCCCCAAGGGGGCTCCACCTCTGGATCCACTGCAGAGGAGACAAAGCCCACTCCTGAAACACTGCCACTGACCTGCAGTGCTTTCAATTCAGTCTGGCCAATTTTACAAGGCACTCGTAAAATAAACTCCGGTGCAGATAGATAACGTTGCTTTGGTAAGTAGATCAAAGGTAAGTGTGAAATCACAAAAAAGTCCGGCTCGTTTCACGTGGGAGGCAATATTCCGTGACCAGTGGCACACCCAGAATCTGTGTGGGAAGTGGGGGGGGCTCAAACTCGAGTTTACCTCCATAATGCTCAAGCCCCCTTTCCGGTTTGTTTTTCTAAAAAGAAAAGAAAAGAAAAATCTCTTGGTGGGATGGGTGGGGGAGGAGGTTGAGCCCCGCCCTTTGGGTGCGCAACTGTCCATGACTAACTTCTTGGCAGTGACATTTCAATTTTCATGTTTGCAATGTTTCCCTTTTGTAATATTCCATGAAATCCAGACAAGTACGTCCTGTTTCTTTCGAATTAACTTTCTTGAAAATATGCTAGAGTCACTTATGGTGCATGCAAAAGTAACGGGAGGATAAAACGCTCATGGATTTTTTAGTATATGCATTTTGTTTTACTCTTTTCGAGTTCCCATTTTTGACTGAACGAACTTTTTGTTGAGAGTTGTTGCTCTATTTTCACTTTAATTGTTAATTTTATGGGCTGGAACGTTCTTGAGGGCGTAGAGAAATGCTCCGTGCAAACTCGACCGAATGTATGTAAGGAGCTTCATTCCAACCGTCCTGTCAATATGAATTCAGGGAGTGATTTCTTAAGCCTTGGCAAATCGAGGGGGTATGTGTTATCTTTATATCTCGATCTCCGCGGTCAAGAGCAGTGATTGATGCATAGACAAGGCAACTGGTTTCTTACGACAGAAAAATACTTTAATTGGGAAACTTGGTCCATTACCTCAATTTGTGCCTCTCACGTCAAGTCTTACAATAGGGCAGAAAGATTTTTAATAAAAAAAATCTAATGCTTTTGATTGCATGGTCGATGACAAAACACTAGACCATACTGCGTTATGTCCACTGCAGCAGTCCAGCGTGCGTCGTGACGCTACCGCCGAAGCTTTTGCTCGCTAAGCCACACGGTGATCTCAAGTTGCCCATGCAAGGCTTTCATCACCCATGAGCTTTTTAAATGGTCGTTTGAATTCCGTGTGTTTTCTGTTAAATTCTTGGCTGAATTTTTACTTTGAAATTTTTGTAATGGATTGAAACACCCCAATTGAAAAAGTCTTTGAAACCCTTATGCCTCTCAATAAGTTCTAAAGTAGCCTATCAAGAATTTTGTGAATGGCTTTGTAACGAATGAAAAGTCAAAGACCGGAAATCTAACGCAGAAGAAAGATCTCCTTGTAATAAGAACCCTGTAGAATGGCCTACGACAAAGATTAAGCAGGCCAGGTAATGAAACAAAACTTTATTAGTTTGTAAGCAACGCACATATGGTATTAATTAGAGTCATGTTGCAGCAGACAAGTTTAGTTTGATTTCACCACTGTTGACAAACACTGATACCTTGGAAAACTCTACAAAAATACTCAAAAAGAGTTTTTTGAATGATTCAGTCTAAACCCATTGAGTTCATATTTAAATAACTGTAAAGCCAAAAGGATAATCTTAATCTATATGAGCGTACACCTGTGCGGGTGATGTTAACCTCGATTGATCGTGTGGCTTCGCACATCTCTCTTCGTAGCCTAACCACAATTTATCAATACAAAAAGTCACATTTTTGTAAACAATAACTTTCCTACTTTCTACTATTTTCTACTATACAGACCGTCTTGTGTAGTTTTAGTTAAATCTGTTACGTTTTTTGCAAGAGTGATGTAAAGAGGATGTCACAAACATTCTACAGATTATTCCCTACAAAAGCTCGAGGTGTCGTAAATGACAGGCAAACAGGAGATACCTGACTAGCTGTTGAGTTCTTAACCATCTTTTTTTATCGATAATAATTCTGTTCAGCGGCTTTAACGTAAGGGAATTTGTCATTGAAATGGTCCAAAAACGATCCAAATCTCAACGCCTCCTCTCATACACTGGAAATGACATTTAGTACATCGAACAACACATGCCGTCACTACAACTCATCATCCACCTCATCAGAGTCGCTTTTGGGCACAGATGTATGCTATTACACAGTACTAACAGCTATAATGAAGCTGAGGTTCGGAACTACGACGCCTACCAGTAATATACAGCAGTTTACATTATGAACATCATCAAGCCAACATCGATATTGATGAAAACATTAGTTTTCATCTGCTTTTTGTAAAGAAAACTAAACTTTGAAAATTTGGAAAAGAAACTGGCGGAGTCATCAGAAATAAAATAACTGTAGATGGCCAACAACTTTAAAAACATTAGCTAAAAATTATTGTTGCAGACATGGCGTTGTAATCAAGCAAATAGACATCAGAATATTAAAACTTGGACCCATGAGATAAAGTTTTAGTAAGAATTTACATATTTCAAATGTTTGCAATGATGATATAGAAATGATTGAACATCCCTTCTGGGTCAATCTTATTATAATGAGTGTCCCTATTAACATATTCCATGTTTTCCCAATGAATGACGTCGCTATTTCTGAAATGTCATTACAGGAAGCAGTTGTTCATTTTGGGTGCTGTTCGTGCTCACCGAAACTATTTTGTGAGGAAGCTTTGTCAAATAGCCTGCTGTCCCATATACTAAAGCAACAACAAATCGAAAAAACAAACAACCCAACAAACAACCCAACAAACACCCCAACAAACAAATAAAGACAGAACAAAACTCAAAATTCTGGCAAACTGTGGTGAAATTATAGCCTAAAGTACTTAAAGCATAAGAACGGAAATTTGCATTGGCATAAAAATCAAAAGGGTACCAAAATACCTTTAAAACTGGTACAATAAAAATCAAAATAAGGTACAGTGAAACCGAACAGTAAATGTACAAGGACATGAAATGCATTTATCTTTTGTAGTTGCTGCTAATCCGATTATTTTGTTATTGTGCCGACATCACGAACTGCGGCTAAACTGCTGGATTAGTCAAGAACTTTTCCCATGCTGTATCAAATTGCTTGATCTGAATCAAATAACCTTGGATCTGAATCAATCAGTGACATGGTAGGCTGACCTCAACTGCTGAATTAGCTCAAGTTTTTCTTGCTTCGGCAGGAAGGATGCATGCGCTGCATTCAACGTCTGTAAAAGTAATCGAAACAAAAAGAAGCTGTTTAAATCCATCAACGGAGCTAGTGTTAGCTAGAATATAGAACTCTTCAGATAAATACCTTGTATAATGATGCTGAACCGACCCGGTGTAAGATTTCGAATATTACGTGAACACAAATTCAACCCACGTAGAAGCAAAGAAGTACGATAATATTTATTAAAATATCTAATCCGTCCAAAAGGTATTTTTTCAACTACTTAAAATTTGTTACAAAAATTTAATTGAGCTGGTATAATGTCATAGCATACATAGCATGGGCAGGTTGTAATTGACATGAGGATCTATTTAAAGGCATGTTCGTCAGGTGGTGAATTGAAATTTCTTTTCGTTTCCCTTTTTCGTGTTGGTTATTGGGTGGTTTACATCTTAATTAAACACCCAGCTTTAGAGTACCGCCACTGTGTGTACACAGCAAATGAACGCATCTACCAAAGGTGGTAGCAGCCAATCACATTGCCGGACTTGTATTTACGTCGTTCATACCTGTATCATAATGAACGAGTCTACAAGCCTGACTACTCTAATTGGTGGACATTCCGATCTTCCAAAGATTGGAGCGAACAGCGGGGAAAGTATTTCATCATAATGATGTGTAAGAGGATCCGCTTTTGAATCGTCTCAATGCATTCAAGTTGTGCTACTAGTGTTGCATCGTCTGCTAAGAGCAGTTCCAGAAAGCACTTTGGTCTTTGCTCCCAGGTGGGCAAGGTTGAAGAGGCCGCTGTCACTTCTGTGTGGAGATGGATCCCACCCTCTGACCTGGTGAATGTGAATGATAGCAGCAAACAGAGTAGGCGCCAAAACGCATCCGTGCTTGATTCCGCTCGATTGGAAATGAGTCAGAGGTGAATCCGTCATACTGATTAGACGATGCCTTTCCCATCCCCAAGGAAAGAAACAATCAAGGTGAGAGGTTTGGGAGGACAACCGATCTTCTCCAGGAGGGTGAAGGGGTCTTTTCTGTTGAATAAATAGAAAGCCTTGGTGAGGTTGATGAAAGCGATGTAGAGCAGCTGTCTGTGTTCTCGACACTTCTTCTGTAGCTGTCTCCGCGAGAAGATCATGCCATTGGTGGATCTCTTCGCTCTGAATCTGCACTTGGCCTCTGGATCGACATGTTGCAGTATGCACAGGACCACTTGACCAAAGGTTTGCCCACAATACGGAGGAGTGATACACCCTATTGCAATCGCTCCAGACACCCTTGTTCTAGTATAAGGTGATGATATTGGTGTCCCACATGTCCTGCGGTATAGCGCCTTCTTACCAGCAATGTTTACTGGTCAGCTTGATGACTTCTGGAGGAATGCCGTCATTTCCTGGGGCTTTGTCGCAGGCTAAGGACTCAATAGTCTTTCTAAGTTCGTCAATAGAAGGCGGATGGCATCTTCAGTGACGGTGTTCTTCCTTGAGTACAGCTCAACCCATCTCTCCATCTGTTTGCTGCAATCTATGATGACATCCTTGGATGATGACTTTAGAAGGACAATCTTGGACACACGTTGACCAAAAGTCTTCTCCGTGCCTTCGTATAGCTCTGATAGTCGTTGACACATCTCCGAGCAATACGTCTAGTCTCGTTCCTAGCTCTCCTGAGCGCTACAAGTGCTCTGAAAGATGTATCTTGTAGTTCAGCAGCGCTGTTCTCTTGGCTGTAATCGCTGGATCGAGTTCGGGCAGTCTGGCTTCAAACCAGCCTGGGTTTTCCTATTTTTCTTGCCTTGTGTACTAAACCGTTGAATGGATGGCGTCGCGGATGTGGTTCCACCTCGCCTCTGTTGAGCCAGTAGGGCAGCTGTTAAGCGCCTCTTCAATAGCATTGACAAAGTGAACACGCAGCTCTGGGATAGAGGTCTTCGCAGCGTTGATACGTGCAAGCCCTTTCTGTTTAGAGCGGCGGGTTTACTTGAGTTGAAAGTGCACCTTGCTGCCTACAAGGGAATGGTTTGTGTCGCAGTCTGCGCCGTGGTAACTGCGCGTGCTGAGAGCAATTTATGGGTGCGTTCGATTAGATTACACGTGTAAGTCAAACTTACACGAGAGCGTTCGTTTAGCCATCACGTGATGTTCGTGTCTGCCCTGGTGTCAGCCACCACTACCCCAGCTGGCAAGCGGGTCTCTGGAGGCTGCCCGAGTGTAATGACGTCACGGATGGACTGTTCGAGCATGGACGTTCATGATGGAACGAGGCGGGGACTTGACCTTTGTCCTAGAATGCCTTGGAAAACACACTGCAGCGTTCGATAAGCCTCATTTTGAGGCTTCCCTTGAGTGTAACACTGGTGTGTTCAGGGAAGCTAATCGAACGCACCCAATGGCTAGACTTGATCAAAGCATTGGACGATGATTTTGACAACCCCGGCCGTTAGGCCTGCTGTATGTGCGCGGCGGAAATACTGCACGGTGTGATGCGCAATACCCTGCGCTGCAGCAGGTTCGCTTTTAACACGTACGGTACATTGCACAGTACGTCGGGCCGTCATGCTTTGCAAGTGACATCCGATTCCCAGTGAAGCCGTTACCCCACTCTCACCTTATGGACAGCTGACGCACTGACGTACGTGGGGTTACGTACATGTAAATGTATACGCACACGTGTCTGCGGTGGTTCGGTTTGTATTACGGCGGTAGCATAGCCGTCATAAGTCTGTGTACGGGGATCCGTTGGGGTCTGCCGTTGTACCGTACTAGGGTGGCAGCTCGTTTGCCATGGTTTGCGTGCGTACGGCCTGGATCTCTGCCGGGGTTTAACGGCCGCGTAAACTGCCTTGGACAAGGCTACAAATGGCGCTTACCTCGGGTATTATCCGACTTAACTCCATCTGAGAAGTCACGCAATTGTTTCCATCGCTCCATTATTTTGCACGAATGGAGCGTCTTTGTTTTGTAGAAAGTGGGTTACAAGCAGTTCGTTAAGTAAGGCCTTAATCTATTCCTTGGTACAAAATTGAGGACAGGCAACTACTCAGGTGCACGATGCTGTTACGTATTGTACTGTGGTATAAATTTCCAGCCACGCTCACGGTAACTTCCATCATTTGGTGTGTATGCCACTGGACGTATGGCCATAACATGAAACAGCGATAGTGATTTTGTTTTGGCTGCACAGAGACACTGATGATAATTACTTACTGATACCATTGGCTCGTCGCTCAGCGCCAGACATTGAAACACATTATTCTGTTTGTATGATTTCTTATTTACAATGTGCTTCCAAAAGTATTTACAAAGATTCCAAATTTAAAATACAAAATAAAATTAGAGGTTTCAATAGTCAGACTTTTAACGTTAGAACATGTTCAAGTAAATATTCAGTATCTTCTGATCACAAATACCTCAAATTGATTGGACATATTCACCTCTTAATACTGACTACTGGACAGTTACCGCCAAATCTTAGTCTTATGCAACCAAAATACCCAGTAGATTTGAGTATTTCAGTTCTTTCTTATCGACAATTTGAATAAACCAGCAAGAACTTCAACACAAAATGTCTGCAGTCTCTAAATCTAAATCATCAGTCATCTAGGTGGTGTGTAGCTCCGACCGGTCCTTGGCAAACGAGGTCTTGAGGAACCAGGTAGCCTGTGGTCAGTCTCTACAGTAGTTCTTCTTTGGTCGTCACTCAGCCCAGATTTTCAAACTCGAGTATACAGAGTGTCTTCAGTAGCCAAATTGATGACCATCTAAACATTGAGATGTATAAATGACCCAAAACCTCATGATGTAGTATCACTGTTACAAGTTCATAGTTTGAGAATTCTCAACGACAAAATGGCAACTAACATCTGCCTCATAAGAAGTGCGAACATCAATTAACTATCTCCATCGTTCGAGTTAAATGGATACTCAAAATCTGAACTTCGACTTGTTCTAAAATGAACATTTAACACAGAATAATCACAAGTTAACTCCAGCACAAGCAGCAAAAAAAAAATTCAAAAGTCGACTTGAACGAGCAACTTTGACTTTTTTCAAAATAAATACATTAATATCAATGAATAACGTACAGTTAATCTTCTCTTGCTTTACTGAGAGTCTTGGCCCATAACCTGGTCCAGAACTTCTCCACGCAGAATGTCGAAACTGGCACAAAATTTCACACAGAAATTTGGCTACGATGCAAACAGCACAAAATTACGATCTGAGAGCAAACAGCTCAATTTGCATATCAGCATGCACAAAGCATCGGCTCCACTCTGGAACACGGGCAACTACAGACACGGCAGTTAATCCTTCAGCTCTCCTGTCTAGTGGTGCTCTGCTTCTGTTGTTTTAATGGCACTTTCAGCTACTCAGACTATTTGCGCCAATTACTATACGTTTATTCATAACCTTTATGAATCAGCATCACATTACGGAGTTAGGAAGAGAGTCCATTTTTTAGAGGCAGGAGGAAACCGGAGTACCTGGAGAAAACCTACGAGAGCGAGTATGGACTGGAAACCAAATGCACTTAAAGCCTAGGTCAAGCCAGGACTCGAACCCGGGCCACTGCAAAGCGAGGAAAGAACCGCTACGCTAACCCGCTACCCCGATCTGCTTCTACGGCTACGCCCGAGCTATAATATATACCAGCCTAGAGACAAAGCATACCCTGCAGTCATCTATACATTGTCTAACCAACTAGAGTCCCAAATTCACATTAGCCTACCAAGAATAATTACAGCCTCACTAATCTTTAGGTGCACTGAGTGAAAGGAATAAAATGCTTCAACTGCTGGTTTTCTACACCTGAATGTAAAAAACTCAGCTGGGGAGAAAATGACATAAATACTTTACTGTTGAGACACACATCAAACTAAAGACACCAAAAATTCTCCACAGGAAAAGTTTCAAAGGAAAGAAGAATCTGCTCATGACAAATTGCGACGAGTTTCTACTATATTTCATGACTTTATTTCTCTGGACTGTCGTGGAAATTACTAGCATGGCTAGCAAATTAACTCCAAGATGCCGAGTTCTCTTATCAGACAATATGTAAACAGCTGAGGTATACCGATGCGGCATTAATGGGCTATACAATATTAATTTCCCCTGCAGCATTACTGCCAGCAAGGAGCACCAGACTCATTCACTTAAACTTCTTAAATCCCGTTAGGGGCTTCAAACTGGCGCCCTTTCATTCGTTTTAGATATATTTTAGTGTGTTTGTGTTGCAGTTGCATAAAAACTATTGTATGTCTGTGCATGTAAAACTTGATTGAACAAAATGTATTGAAATTGCAAATTGGCGATATAATTATTATTAGTGTCTATTTTGCCCTAAAATGTACCACTCCATGTAAAGTAGTCAGTACGAATGAATTGATGGAATCAATATTGTCCGAAACAATGGAAAAGGATCACTCCATTCATGCAAAATAATGGAGCGGCGAAACAATAACGTGACATCAGGGGTGGAAGTTTATCGACCTGATTTGCATAGAGAAATGACGTCCATCGCTTTGTCGTGGATGGTCTTTGTCTTCAATTTGTTTCCTATGGGAAAATATCAGTTTTGAGAGCCTGTTTAATTCCAGGCCAAATTTGTAACCTTGAAGATTTATTTTATTCAAGGGAAAAACGTTCGCCTCAACACATTGTTCCCCTTGCGCCAATTACTCGGCACTGATTTTACTGTATGCAAAAGCCTCGTTTATTAACAGCGGTGGTATAGTCGGACCGATGGCCACGAAAGAACATGTCACACCTTAAAAACACGGGCGATGTATTCGAGAAAACGTTTATTTTTTTTGGATTAAAGAACATGTAAATTAGTTATACATGTACATTACAACGGTACAGTTTTAATTTATATAATGGGTTTTGCCCTTACGCAACGTATATATTAATAAACACTGCATGCTCAGTGCTTGTCCGAGAGCTTGCGAAAAAAAAGTCACAAGCTTACTCGGGTGGGACTCGAACCTACGACCTCCTGTTTACTAGTGCAGACGTCTTAACCACTCGAACACCCAGCTTGCCGCGGGCGGCTGGCCGGTCCGAGTCAGCTGAAGCAGCGGGTACCGCGAACTATTTTTAAGATGTATTTTTACATCTACAGTTTACACGCACTACATACCACTTGTATTGCCTGCTCATCAGACAGTCCACAGAACTTCTTTGCAATCTCAAACTCATCATTGATGGTATTCCCAAAGACCGTCGGGTCGTCTGTGTTCAATGAAAAGTTGATGTTGTCCTTGATAAACCTAAGTCAACGACAAGTGAACATGTTGTTATTGACACTGGACTGGATACTAAATGAAAAGCCGTAACAGAGTCGTGTATAGAGTACCGAAGTGAATACGTCACGCGCACAATTAGTGTGTAAAAGGCATTAGAGCCAGAACCAGCGCGTGAATCAACACGTGCGCGTACTCTATTTGTTTGTACCGCACTTTCTGGTTCACAATGACGTCACACTTCGGTACTCTATTATCTGTCAGGTTTACATAAGTATACCAACTCTGCGCTGTGGACATAATTATTGGCTGAAAAATATGAAAGGGCTGCGTAGCATCGTGATCAGAATATAGATAAAAATATAATATATAATCAGTGCTCTCAATTATGTAAGTGCCGAGCTTTCGGTAACTGGGTACCTTCGTCAGGGCAAGCAGATTCACTTCTAAATGAACACAGAAACATCCATGTTCATTCCACCTGGATGTAGCGTCCCAGCTTCGAAAATGACGCGCCTCCAGTTCCTTACGCTGTACATCGGATGATGCTTTCCGTAGGATGCAGACGCTTACGTCACCGAGAGTATGTGGCGGCGCACAAAAGTGCTGCGCAACAGGGAGACCAGGTGTTTGTTGGCGCACACTGCGCAAGTGTTCCGCAAAGCGGTCACCAAGGCGATGCTTGGTTTCTCCGATGAACAGTTTACCACAGCGACGACTTGTAATAAACCACATTACTTGTAATGCATGTATGATCCCCGCGTATTCTGTAGTTACCGCAGGGGCCGACGACCAACGGGCTGTTAACTATGTAGGGGCAAGTGTTACATCTGGGGCGCTGACAAGGGGAATTGCTGCCTGCTTTTGACGGCGAGACAGAATCTAACCGGTAACGTACAACCATGTCCCCGACAGACCGATCGCAAATCGGGGGTTCGGTGAAAATGGAAGCTGTGGCCGCATCATTTCCGAGTATACGAAAACGTTTAAGAAGAACATTAGGTACTGGGATGTTTCGAGGGTGGTATGTGAGTACGAGGGGGACGCGATCACTTTGCTTGGCCCCGATGGGTTTCAGAGCCGTTTCGCGCGGGATTGAAGATACGGCGTTGAAGGCAGCGTCTGTGATAGCCGGAGGGTAACCGCGCTGATGAAAGAAACCTAGCATTTCCTTCCCACGCGCAGAGAACTCCGCATCCCTACTACAAATCCTAC